GGTTTCACCGTGTTAGCCAGGATGGTCTCGATTTCCTGACCTCGTGATCCACCCGTCTCGGCCTCCCAAAGTGCTGGGATTACAGGCTTGAGCCACCGCGCCCGGCCAATGATTGTTTTTTTAAAACAAAAAACTCAGGATTTGGGGGGCTTTTGTGTTGGAGCATCTTGATCTCTAAACCAGCCTTTTCCATCACGTCATACCTAGGCTATGCCTAGAGGTCAGAAAAATGTAAATGACAGATTGGGAAGTTGGGTTGTTCATACTAGTTTGTAAATAGAAAAACATTCACAACACTCCAGTTCCAAATAGGCTGAAAATGAATTAGAAAAACTAGTCCTTCAATATTTTTTATTCTTCTACAGTTGTCTTTTTTGACCTAATTATAAAAGTAGTGTACACTTACAGAAAAGTAAGGACAGGCATTGTGGCTCACGCCTGTAAACCCACCACTTCACTTTGAGAGGCTGAGGCGGTTGTATCACCTGAGCTCAGTAGTTTGAGACCAGCCTGGGCAACAGGGTGAAACCCCATCTCTACAAAAAATACAAAAAATTAGCTGGGCGTAGTGGCTCACCTGTGGTCCCAGTTACTCAGGAGTCTGAGGTGGGAGGGTCGCTTGAGCCTGGGAGGTGGAGATTGCAGTGAGCTGAGATTGTGCCACTACTCTCCAACCTGGGCGACAGAGTGAGATCCCGTCTCAAAGAAATAAAAGAGAAAAGACAAGACAGACGAGCAGCATGAGTGGCTAGAGACAATCACTGTTAACATTTTGGTGTATTTTGATCAGAATCCATTCACATACATATATGTTACAACATGCTTATACTTAAAAAACGATACATCACAAAAGTTCACTTTTTAGTAACCTGCTTTTTTCTCCCATCTAATATACCACCCATCTGTTTCATACACAATTACATGTATTTTATGACATACCAAAATTTGCTTCCATATTGTACATTTTGTTTCTACATTTTAGAAATAAAATATGAACTTTTTTTTTTTTTTGAGACAGAGTCTAGCTCTGTTGCCCAGGCTGGAGTGCAGTGGCACAATCTTGGCTCACTGCAACCTGTGCCTTCTGGGTTCCAGCGATTCTCCTACTTTAGCCTCCTGAAGTAGCTGGGATTACAGG